AAGAACTTTTCTTCTCTTTTCTCTCGAGTTACACGTCCATAAGTAGAAAGTTACACACTAACAAACTGCATGTTACAGACTTACACTAAGCACGTTACATGCCTATCATATAGAGGAGAGTGTGAAAAATTGTGTTCTCTAATTTTTTGTTGCCTCTATTTATAGAGTAGCTATCAGAGTTCTAGTAAAACTTTTATCTCTATCTTAAAAAATAAAGCTATAGAAAATAAGAGATTAATTTAATTTTGAATCCTATTTAAAATCAAATAATATTTCTATTTATTTTAGAACAATTTTCTCTCTCTTGGCACTTATAAAATTCGGCCACCACAAGAATTTCTCTCTGTGGTAGGCACCACCTTATCCAGTAGGAGGAGAAGAATTTTCTCCTTATCATGTAGTCTAATTTTTGCTCAAATTCAAATTCCATTTAAAGTCAAACTTTAAACATATTTGAATTCTAATTGGATAACTTATCTAACAAGTAAACTAGATAACTTGAAGAGCAAGCAACTGAATTCTAAAGGGATTCTTTCTCTATACCAAGCGTGTACCTCATGTGGTTTCCACCACATGCGTGTTTCAAAATTTAAATTAAATAATCACATTATTTAATATCTAATTAATTCTTAACTAATTATTTTTGAGTGATTTAATTTAAAATTTCATAATTCTAAAATCATGTTTTACCCTTAGTATCTTGTAGAATTACAAGGACGATGAGAGGACTCATTGACCTATAATATCAAACTTCAATAAAATTAATAATTAATTAATTCTATTAATTCTAAAGTTACTCCACTATAAACTTGGAATTGCACTCTTGATATTGTAAACATTTACATCTATATAATGTCCATTTGATATAGTCACTTCATATAGATCGATCATCTATAAAAAATTTATAATTAAAGTTAGGTGAAATCCGTTAACATCTCTAATTATATCTTTATCCTTGAGTACTATTGATTCTCTAATTGATAGTGATTTATAAAATAAATTCATGAATCGGAGCTCCTACTAATCCAAGTACCAAATCAACCTCAAGAGAATAATTTGTTTGCTTTTTTATTCAAGAAGGAATGTATTTCATCTTGTATATTAACATTCTCGGCTACTCATTTCATTATATCTCTAAGACACAAGGAATAAGATTTAACTATCTTGAAATCCGTACCGAGTAAGTCAAAAGACACGAATCTACAAAGAGGAGTCTACTAATAACTTAAGATTAAGATTATTCTATATATGATCATCGGTAGACTCAACTATAATTTCTATATTTAACGAAAATTATTAAAAATTCATATTGTGTCTTGTCCCAGTCCTGCACAATCTCATTATGTAAAATACATTCATTCAATATCTCTTTATATCAATGATACATATAAGCTCGTTTCATTCTTAATGGGAATGACATCTATTAATAATGTTTTAATTAAATATTATAAACTTTAAATAAATTTATTATAGATTTCGATTATTATCCTTAAATATTATCTTTTAGTATATAGCACTTATAAAGAATATTTAAAGTTACATAAATAATCGTGAAATTTTTAATGATATTCATAAAGTATTCAATAATACATGTAAATAAATAATAAATTTATCTTTTATTAAATAAATAATGATATTTTGTACATCTCATATTTTTAAGACATTATTTCAAACAATTAGTACCTTGACTGTAGCTCGACTGTAGCTCAAATGCAAAGTCCCTAAACTGCACACTCTCCACGTACCTGAAAGGCAGCTCACACTTAATTAGATACTTCGCAGTTACTTGCCAACCTTTCTCTTTTGTGAAATTCACAGTCACCAAAATACTCGAGGCCTCATAGGCTAGAGTCTTTTTTAGACTTATCCTATTTATTGTTTGGATTTTTTTTTTTTTTACAAGTGAGCACGTGTTGTCGCAACGTACTAGTGCCGCACGTTTTGCTATTAGAAGCATATGTTGTCTGACAATAATTACACTGATCGAGTTTAGAATTCGAGTTTTATTACAGTAAAAAACTCTCAGAAACAGTCACATTTAACTTTTTTATTACAGTAAAAAACTCTCACATAAAGTCACATCTTAACTCGAATCAGCGAACTAAACAGACCCTTAACCAGTCTTGTCCGAGGTACTTCTGTCATGTGCCCGCACACTATTGACTTTTCTTTAGGTTTTGTTTCGATTTAAGTGGGTGTAGGTTCATCATGCATAGTCGCATTCTCAGGAATAGTCTCAAGATGTTCACCCCATGCGCATATATTTAGATTGTGTACACATCCAGCCTTCAATTAAAAACAACATGTTCTTTTAAACTAAAATTTACAACATTAAGCATTTAATTTTAAGTTTTTTTTATTTTAAAAAAAAGACAAATTTCATATTCTCAATATCAGGATAATATTCACAATGTCAATATCAAATTCACAATAACAGCCAATTCACAAATCACAATATATATCAATATGAATAGCAAAAATTAGTTATCAAAATATCATAAAGACATGAATCAGGTCATCTCAGTCGGTATAATTCAGATTTAAATGAACAAAAACTTAACCTAAAAAATTAAAAATTCTAAAAACATAAGGTCATAACCTAAAAACTAGAAATCGTTCATCAATCTCAGTCATTTACTCTCATTTATCAGTCCATATTTCAGCAACAAAAAACCTAGAATTAGAAGTGAGAGAGGCACGTACCTCTACCTTGCTAGTAGCTTACTTGCTACTTCGGTTGAAATTTGAAGTTGAAACTTGAACCGACGCCGGAGATGACATGGGGGATAATACGACGAACGGACAGAGAGAGAGAAAGAGGAAGCAAAACGGATGGGGCAAGGAAGCAAAATTAGAAGAGATCAAAACATTGCAAGAACTAAGGACTAGGAGAATCAAGGTTGAACGAAGAGAAAGCAAGCGATAATGGGGAGAGAGAGAGAGAAAGAAACATAGAGAGAGAGAAAAAGAAACATAGAGAAAGAGATATAGAGAGAGAGGGAATTTGAGGCTTGAGCTACGAAAAACTAAAACCAGAGGAATATGGAGTTTGAAACTTTGAGAAACAGCGACATTTGAAGTGTATATATATAGTTTGCTTCGATTCGGTTTAAACGGAACCTCAAATACTTAAAACCGAAACCGGCCGTATTAAACAACGGTCGGTTCGGTTTTAAAATTAATTTTTAGGTTTATGGGTGGGTCGGGGCGGTTTTCATCAATTTTGATTTTTTATGAACAACTTTATCTCCAATATAAATATTAATATTAATTATATATTTAATATAAAAAAGAGTGATAATGGTAGCTTTAATGTTTTTCTTGTACTCTAATGTATAATGTTATATCAAATGTTAAACTTATTTTTATCATAATTTAAGCTTTAAAAGTTGTACAAGTAAACTTTTAGTTTTAATATATTTTAAAAATGTAAATATTGCAATGATTACATGAAAAAAATAAACATATCAACCAATAAGAATCAAATGTCAAATTTACTATTTATTATACTTGATGGTAAATTTACCACAAAGTATAGCATACAATAAATTTGACGGGGTAAATGACATTGGATTGGAGAGTATTTTTTACACTCAAAATATCAAATTTACTATTAACACATTAATTATAACATTGCATTGGAGATACTCTAAAGATAATCGAAAAAAGTATGTTAGTGAAATCAAATATCCTCTTTTAGTTTAAGATTTTGAATTAATTTCATGAATGTTCCATAAACGGTTTGCCTTAATCCAACATGCTTCTTAAATTTCAAAAATGACACATTTTGTATAGGGTAAAAAATAACATCAAGTCCCACATTATTTAAATACAATAACATACATTAAACAACTACTTATAAATATATCGGGTTACCTCACTTAACAAGTTGACTTTTTAAGATGAAAGTTCAAGTCCTTAAAAAGTCCACTTTCCATCACATTTCACCCTTAAAATTATATAAAATCATTCAAAACACATCTCTTATAAAACCCGCTTTTGACATAATAAGGATTGCACTTAAAATAAATTTATTATGCTACATTTAAAAATATATATTTTACGCAAGCAAATAAAAAATGGTATTGCAAAGAAGAGGTTTGTCTCGTTCATCGTTGATGTTTACGCCACCAAACTCCTCTCCCACCAGCTTTGACGCTCCTAGCAACGAGAACCGAAAACTAGTGGAGCCGGAGTTGTCAAGGTGGATCGTGGCTTAGGTGCAGCGACGAAATCTTTTACCGCTATTGTGCTCCATCGGTGGTGTCATTGCGTTGCCGAGATTTATCACAACACCAATGAAAGAGAGAGGAGTCAAAAAGAAGAGAGAAATTTGGGAGGACATTAGGGTTTCTATGTACAAGGGTAAATTGACTTTTTACTGCTTGAAATTGAGATATTTCAAACTTTTCAAAAAAAGGGGTAAGAGTGCGTGATAGATCTTAAAGAAATGGTAGGGAGCTTAATTAACTGTCGAGATAATTGTTGAACTTACCTTTAAAGTGTATGAGTATGAATTTTTACTATTTACTCTTGATTAATACCCTTTGGACTAATATAGTTATTTGACTAAAAATAACATTAATCAAGAGTAAGAGTTAAAAATTCAGACTCATGCACTTTAAGAGGTATTTATCTCTTTTTCTCTTAATTACCTTAAGAAAAAGAGCAAAAGAAAGCTGGAGAGAATTACTAAACTTACTCATAAAAGCGCATAAGTCTTAATTTTTATTTTTTATTCTTAATTAATACCTTTTAATTAATATAATTATTTGACTAAAATAATATTGATCAAGGGAAGAGTAAGGGGTATCGCACCCTAAAAAGAGTATTTGTCCGGTTAAAGCTGCCCGACTTGGGCCCATTTCTTGATTAACTGGGCCACATTTGACTGACTAACAAAGCCCACTATTTTAGCCCACCAAAGCCCAACCTCGTCCTCCTCTTCGTCCATTTTTGTTCACGCAGGCTCTCTCTCTTTCTACTTCAACCCACCTTGGCAGCGCTGATAGCTCGCCGCCGACTACAGGAGGTACGCCGGTTTCTGCATTTCTTAGTTTGCTCTTTCTTCTGTTGTTCGAATTATACTCATTTTCTTCAAATTTCCATTAGAAGTTTTTATGATACGTGAAAATTTGCGTAATGTTTCGTTTAATTTCAAAATACAAGGCATTTTCTACGTTTATAGAGCAGAAACATTTGTTTTAGTCTCCAATTCTGATGCTTTTCGAACGAAAGCAACTTTTTTTCGAAGTTAAAATCCTCCAAAAGACACTCTTTTGCTCCTTAGCTGAAGAAGGTAAGCCAAAATGAAACAGTTGTTTTATTTTCCTCTTTTTTTCCTCTTTTTCTTTTGTGATTGATATTAGCCGTTAAAATAAAAAATAAAAAAGCATAGCTTTGTATTAAGGATTATTCGTTATATAAAGCTGATTGTATATAAATTAAATTTCTAAATTGGACTTCTTTAATGGATTTTTTCGTGGTGATCAGTATTTTTATTTTGATTTTTCTACATTTTAAGACCCTACGATCATCATCATTATTATTATTTTGTAATTAGTTGTGTCATTTTGGCCAAAATGGTGATCATGGGTCACCTTCTTGAGTATTAGTAGATGTGTTGTTCTTTGTTAGCAATCTTGAATAATGGAAATTGTTGATAAATGTCTTTGAAAAAGGAGTGATGATTTTGAATAACAGTGTTTTCACTTTTCCCAATTTGTCATTCTGTTTCTAGTTATCATAGCTTCCACTATCCTATGCCACAATCGGACCGGAATCATGTTTCTATCGAGATACTTTGGGAGAACTCTCCTTGCTGCAGCCAAGTCAGATACCTCAGCTGCTGTGGCAGCTGCTACTTCGTCGTTAGGTCAGTATGCAACCCTCTTTAGAAGTTCTTTGAGGTAGATAGAAGCCCAGAAGACAATGAGCTGGTTGACTATGGTACATTCCTCTTTTTATTGAAACTGTGGTTGTTCTATTACTTTTACTAATGGGCTGTTTTATTATTCTTTTCTGCTTATACATAACATACTTATGTATGTATTGTTGCTAAGAACTCTTTTCTTGAATAGCAAGTAGGTAATAATACTACAGTCACGCATGTAATTGCATAATGTGTTTATGTTTATCTAAATCTTGAAGGACTTATTATCTTCGGCCATTAGCTATTCTGATCAGCCATGAGTTTGGTCCAACTGAAGCGTCTTTCTCTAGCTACAAAATTAACTATGACTATCAATTACTTTGGGAGACATTCTAGAGTTTCAAGGTTTTAGGAGGCTTGAGTTGAGAGAGAGAGAGAGGTGTATCAAGTTTTGTTTGTTTTACGCACTTCTTTTTTTTTTCTATTTTGATGTTAGACCAAATCCATTTTTTTAATGCATGTGTATATGTTCGTTTGAAGTGTAGGAGGACTCGTTACTGTGACCCATTATCTTCGCCGATCATATCCATGAGTTTGGTCAGACTAAGACATCTCTCTTCAGCTTTACAATCAACTTTGTATCACAAACTTAACCTCAGGACGACTATAAATCTCTCCATCTTAGAGACCCATTCTACTAAATGCCAAAATTTGAGGCAGTTCAAAAAAATTCTCTCACAGATGATCCTAACTGGCTTCATCAAAGATACATTTGCAGCAAGCAGGCTTCTCAAGTTCTCGACTGATTTTCCCTTTGTTCATATTGATTACTCCTTCCACATCTTCAACCTCATTGAGAACTCAAATGGGTTCATTTGGAACACCATGATGAGAGCCTATGTTCAGAGAAACTGCCCTCAAAAGGCTGTTTACTTGTTCAAGTGTATGTTGGAGGAAAATGTGGGTCCTGATAACTACACATACCCGATTCTAATTCACGCCTGTGCCATCCGGTTATCCGAAAATGAAGGGAAACAGATTCATAGTCATGTTTTCAAGGTTGGTTTTGATTCGGATGTTTATGTTCATAACACCTTGATCAATATGTACGCTGTTTGTCAGAACATGATTGATGCACGTAAGCTGTTTGATGAAAGTCCTTGCTTGGATTCAGTTACGTGGAATTCGATTCTAGGCGGGTACGTTCAAAACAGGGATGTTGAGGAGGCTAAGTATATCTATGATCGGATGCCAGAAAGGAATATAATTGCTTCAAATTCGATGATTGTATTGTTTGGTAAGGAGGGTCAGGTAACCGAGGCTTGTCGTTTGTTTGATGAAATGCCGGAGAAGGACATGGTTTCGTGGAGCGCGTTGATTTCATGTTATGAGCAGAATGAGATGTATGAAGAGGCTTTGGCTATATTTGTGAAAATGATTTCTAAGGGAGTCAAGGTGGATGAAGTTGTGGTAATAACTGCTCTTTCTGCATGTGCACATTTGTTGGTCGTCCTGATGGGGAAATTGATACATAGCTTGGTCCTCAAAATAGGACTTGAAACTTATCTTAACCTTCAGAATGCTTTGATTCACATGTACTCAACTTATGGGGATATAATGGCTGCCAAGAATTTGTTCCGTTCTGCCCACCATTTGAACCAGATAACTTGGAACTCTATGCTATCTGGGTACTTGAGATGTGGTTCAGTTGAAGACGCCAAGGCATTTTTTGATTTTATGCCCCAAAAAGATGTTGTATCATGGAGTGCAATGATATCAGGTTATGCTCAACATGACCAATTCGCCGAGACTCTGGTGTTGTTTCAGGAAATGCAGAGTTTTGAAGTTAGGCCCGATGAGACCACGTTGGTCAGTGTGATATCGGCTTGCACCCATTTGGCTGCCCTTGACGTAGGCAAATGGATTCATGCTTATATAAGGAAAAATGATCTGCAGGTTAATGCCATTTTGGGCACTACCCTTATTGACATGTACATGAAATGTGGTTGTGTGGAAAATGCATTGGGAGTTTTTCATGGAATGGAAGAGAAGGGAATTTCCACTTGGAATGCTCTCATTCTTGGGTTGGCAATGAATGGGCTAGTAGAGAAGTCACTGGACATATTTTCAGAAATGAAAGCATGCGGCGTAACACCAAATGAGATCACTTTTGTGGCAGTTCTTGGGGCGTGTCGACACATGGGCTTAGTGGACGAGGGTCGTCGCCACTTCAACTCCATGATTCGAGAACACCAGATAGTACCGAATGTTAAGCATTACGGGTGCATGGTTGATCTTTTAGGACGTGCAGGCATGCTGAAAGAGGCTGAGGAACTCATTGAGAGTATGCCTATGGTACCGGATGTTGCAACTTGGGGTGCCTTACTCGGGGCTTGTAAGAAGCATGGCAACCATGACATGGGGGAAAGGATTGGAAGAAGGCTCATTCATCTGCAGCCTGACCATGATGGTTTCCATGTGTTATTGTCCAACATTTGTGCTTTACGAGGTAACTGGGATGATGTTCTTGAGATTAGGGGAACAATGGTGCAACGTGGTGTGGTGAAGACTCCAGGTTGTAGCATGATTGAGGCAAATGGAATAGTCCACGAGTTCCTTGCAGGAGACAAGACACACCCTCTGATAAACGAGATTGAGGCGAAACTGGATGAAATTGCGATCAAATTGAAGATGGAAGGTTATGCACCGGACACAAATGAGGTTCCCCTTGACATTGACAAAGAAGAGAAGGAAACTGCTCTTCTGAAGCATAGTGAAAAGCTTGCAATTGCCTTTGGGCTTATAAGTACAAGTCCTCCAACGCCAATAAGGATAATGAAGAATCTGAGAATATGTAACGACTGTCACAACGCAGCAAAGTTCATCTCAAAAGCTTATGATCGAGTGATTGTGGTGAGGGATCGGCATCGCTTTCATCACTTTGACCAGGGATCTTGTTCTTGCCTAGATTATTGGTAGCAGATTAGCACACATAACTCAAAAATTAGCCATCTCTTTCTGTCAAAATATTGAATTGTAAATGCTTAGAAAATTTAATTTAAAGAGTTACTTTTTTACTCTTCAAAGATTCAATAAGAAATCTTCTGAACAAGGTTCAATACCTTTCTCATACCAACTTCAGTTACTACACTAACAGACCAATGGAACTCAACTCAGAACTACTCGAGTATTATGGTGGAATAGTTTCACAAATGTGATCTTACAGCCCAAACACTGTATACTGCATCAGCTCTTTTCCCTGTCTGAGAAAAGATGATTTTGTGTTAACCACAAAACAAAGTCGTATCCTTTTCTGAAGCGATCGATACAAATTGCATACAGAGAATGTGAGACGACTTAAGAGAGTTGGAGATATCCCACTATAGTTGCTGCAGGTAATGCTGATGTATATGTTACAAAGTTGATGGAATTATTGTCTAATATTCTATCTTGGATTAGTTTCGAGATCTTTTCTTTAGTACTCACTGCAATTTATATGTTGTGTTCTTCAAAGTGAATGTTCTGCAGAAATTGAAGCCGAGAGTGCAAGCTTCAGCCTCAACCAGAAAATGAGAGACATAAACTATATCCGATCTTTTCCAATCCTAGGTATTATAAATGTGTAAATCTCAACCAGAAAATGAGAGACATAAAATCTTTCCAATCAACCAGAAAATGAGAGACATAAACTATATCCGATCTTTTCCAATCCTAGGTTTTATAAATGTGTAAATCTCAACCAGAAAATGAGAGACATAAAATCTTTCCAATCCTGGGTATTATAAATTTGAGGAATTTACACTATGGTACGGAAAATACCCAACTAGTAGGACTCCATTTGGTTCACTAACTTGAACCCATAATTCTAATTCTACTCTCACAAAAATTTGAGTAAAAAAAATTTATGCCAATGGGTTCTCTCACAAAATTTAAATTCACAATTAAAATTACTGACTTAAACCCATGAATTAAATGGGTCAGAAATATGTATTAGATTCTTTTGTTTTTGGGTAATTTTTTATTCGATAAGATTTTGACCATATCTAACGTTGAGAAACATGCATTATTATCCTAATGTAAAAACTATTTATAAATGTTGGATGAAATTTTCATACAGAGTACATACAGTTAGCACGGCGAGATTTGGTGACCTACCTTGTTGTGTATAGCATATGTTCAATACAAGATGGAAATCAGACTAGTCGTGGTCCAAGATGCCAGGTATTTAAGGGTGGTGATAACCAAAATGTTCTGTTTACATATGCCAGATTATGTGGTTGAAGGAGCTTTAAAACCCAAGTTTAGTAATTAAAAGAAATGTTAAGAGACAAGATGGTGAGGCCCTTCTGTGTTTTTTCCTGAATGTTTTTAGATGATACATTTATTAATTTAATAAAGAAAATTGAACATGGACGTCAATTTCTAGACTTTATGTGCTTCCACACTAGGAATAAGAAAATGAAAATGCAAACTTTGCTCGCTCTTTTTCTCTTTTTCTAAAGCGGCTTTGCTGGTTTAGGTTTAGAATAATACAAACATATAGTTGCCCACCAACGGTGATCATGACTAAGCCTCACTGCGTTGTTGAATTGATAGTTATACATTAAATAGAAGGTGGGGCTTAGGTGGATCCAGCCGAGGATTTGGTTCAAAAGCCCGCTTGTAGGCTTTGAAACTCCTCATTCATAAATCAAGAAATTAGGAATAATTTTAGAGAAGAGTTAATTTGGTGGTGGAGAGAATGAAGATTTTCTATGTCAATAATGGAGACTCGGAAAAAAGAGCTTCTGCCATTTTCTTTTAAAACAGTGAGGTTGTGTATTTAACGTTTATGAACTTTAAAAGATTGTTGATTAGAATAGTAATAGATTTTCTTTCCATTTCATTTATAACATATAAACGTAAAATTTTATCGGAAGCTTTTCCTTCTCTTTCATTTTCATCTATGCTCAAGAAGGTATCCTTTTGGAAGTTTTTGCTTACGTGTAGATATACACTTGCCTTCTTGTAGCTTAGGAAGGATGGAAGAAAGAAAGCAAGCAAGCACGTATAAAGGAATGGTTATCTTTTAGATTTTTTTTTTCATATAATTTGAATATTTGATATTGACAATAATATTACAAATTTACTTTTGCAAATGGTCCTCCAAAAAAACTAAAAAAAAAAAAAAAATAGGGGAGATATTACTTGTTTGTCATGCCTCTGAATTCCAAAGTGATATGATAAGGACAAAATAAATTCCAAAAATGCATCATATTCATACCCCATCATTGTAATCATTTTGTCATCTTCAACCTTTATAGTTGCCTCATCATTTCCACTCGCTAGAAAGGAGCGTCACCACACTTGCACCGAAATTAAGCTTAAATAGAGTGCTTCATAATGTTTGTGCTTTGTTTTTATCTTTTTCTTTTCTTTTCTTTCCTTAACCTGTTTCATCAAATTCTAATTAGATATTTGATGGAAACCTCTAGATTAACGAAGGACGAATTACACACACATGTGATTTTTCGAGAGAATCACTGTTTCTCCTCACGATTCTATATAATCTAAAAGCTAACGTACCTTTCGAGCCCTTCCTCTTATTTATAGGCCCCTACTAACAAACTAATTAAATTTAATTATCACTAAAACTTTCTCAACAAGACTCTTCAACAAATTATATCCACATCAGCACTAATTATTGGCGTTTCTTCCTCCTATCATAGTCCAGCAGCATCTGGTTCTTATCAATATTCTTTGAATTTCACTAGGTAATTAATATTGATTAGAAGTAAAAAAATTTGTGGGAAAAGTTTATATGTCTTTGTCAAGTAAAATGAACTTGTAAGCAAAATGTTTGAATTTAAATTGTCAAAAAAAAATGAAAAGAAAATCTAATTAACATAGATCTCATTATTACATATCGTCTTTTTGTATAAGCGTGTTGGCGTTTATGCCCTTAGGAATAAATGTAATAATGTTCTTTAAGACATTTTAACTATTAATAAAGATTTATTTATTTCATATATCTATGTATTGTCCTCGTTATGTTCATATTAGTTGAATGTATGATAAGTAAACTGAAAGTCTGAGACTGTCATTTTAAATCTTTAGGTCATGCATGTAATGAGAAGAACATGCGGAAGACAGGAATCTAAAGATGATAGTCTAAATCAGATGATCCATAACCGAGGGAATAAAGTTTGGCACTTTATTCTTATTAAGATTGTTATGTTGTCTACTTCCTAACGGAGACGACTTGTCTTGGTCATCAGAGGTGGGACTCCATGGGTAGAGACATTGATATAGTTTCTAATGGTGAAATCTATATTGGGTCGGACCAAAGTTGAATTATTTTAATTAATAATTTCGTTTCTATAAAATAATTCACTTTTGACGAATTATATATATATCATCTTAATCCTGATATGGATAATGAACATGTATGCTTGACTTGTATCATTTGATGTACCAAAAGGAGACATCCTGACATTATGTAAAGGTACGTTTACCGGTACATTGGAGGTATGACTCATGTATGCGTAGATTCGTTATTTATAGATAGTGGAATCCATAGCTCCTACAAAGAGTCAATGATATCCTCTTATGCATTATCTGTGGATTGAAAAATACGAGCGCTCGGCCATTAGACTACTCTGTGTTATTTAATGGTTTACTATTTGTAATAGTACGAATAGTGATTTTCTGATTGTGTGATAATGGAACATAAGATAAATGTAATCGGGAGTAAAACGGAACTTGACATCAAGTCGATTATGAATATCCTATGGGGATGATACACTAATATATTGAGTCATGGACAAGAGCTATTCAAAGCTTTGTAAATAGGCTATATAAATTGAAAGTGCAGCTCTAGGCTTTTAGTAGAGTAGCGCTAGAGTTTTATAATCATGAGACGAACTTGTTGGTTTACAAGTAGCGTTGTGAGTATATGAGCTTGATTTATATATGTCCATCGGGTCCCTTTGCTAGCTCACATAATTTCCTGTAACGATACGGTGTATTTCTTATATATTGATAACTTGTGTTATTTCTGTAAAAGAGGTTCAAAGTTAATATGAGATTGGTTAATTAATTCATGAGTGATTTATTATGTGAATTAATTGATAAATTGGTTGAATTATTATTTTAAGAGTTGTTTAATATGGGAAAACTATTATATGATTGTTTTGATTAGTCAACTTCTCTATTGGGTTGCTTGAATCAAAATTGAGGCTCTGTGTAAGTTTTCCGTGTTGAAAAACTAGGAAAACAACTTTCGCTAGTTCAGACAGGTCGACCGGTGAGTTACAACGTCTCTTTCTCCGGTTGACACGTGGTGAAACTGACTCTGTAAGCGAGATAAACTTTAGGAAACCTAATTGTTACGGAAATATGACTTCCTAAACAGTATAAATAGCCCATTAAGTCACATTATTCTTTAGATCACATGATAGACTATTTCGGGCTATTGGCAAAAGATTCCTAAAAGAAATTGTTTAATTCTTAAGAGCGATTTTTCCTTTGGCTCTCTTGTGGTTGGAAGGAGTTTAAGAATACCAAGAGAAGATTGAACGACTTGTGCCAACCCGCACACCAATTATGAAAACGAGAATAGCAAAGAAGACTAGTTGGTTGAAGCTCTTCCGGTTGCTGTTTGAAACGCTTTGATCTGTCAGATGTGCAGTTTCCTAAATTTCAAAAGGTATGATTTAGATCTTTAGTATTTATGTTATATAGCATCATGAATATGTTTTTGATTGGCTTTGGCACTCGATGTCGTATTTTCCAATAAAGCGGATGTCGTTAATGTTGTTTGTCTAGTTATAAGACTTTTATTCTTTCAGTTGACGATATTACTATTAAAGACACTTATGGTTCGTTTGGTACAAGTATTCATATCATGGTGATTATAATCATGATTCTGGAACTAAAATCATGATTCATAATTTTAGGTTCAAATCATGATTCTGAAACCATGATTCAAAATCAAGAGTTTGAATCACCTTAAATCAACAGGGGAGTGGTTTTAGAATCATAAGTGATTCTGATTTAAAACATCACATCATATTTCAAATAATGATTCAGAATCATCTAAACTAAACACTGATTCTGAATTATGATTCAGAATCACTGTAAACAAACACGAATTCTGAATCAGAATCTAGAATCATAATTCTAAATCCATCTACTAAACGTTCCCTTAATATCTCAATGTGAATAATGATAATTTGTGTCTTTATGTTTATTCTTTATAAAGCAAGATCGAGACTAGTGCTGGAACTTTGGATGGGCCGCCCGCGACCGCCCGAAAAAATCGAGTTTTGCCCGAGCCCGACCCGCCTGAGCCC